TAAATAGGGTTATAATTATTAAATAAGTAACATGCATCACCCTTTGTGCTATAAAAAAATATTATTTTTATGAAATTTTAGCAAAATTCATAAATTTAAGAAAAACACCATAAATGAAAATACATTGGGCATAATGAAATTTTAAATTCATTGATATACTTCTTGATCAATCTGAAGTGTCATAAACTACAAGGCAAAAAATATTTTATAAGCATCTAAAATTTGATGTTAATGATTTTTCGTCAAAATCACTTTGTTTTATTCTAAAAATTGCTGTAAAAGGCAATTAACTATCTTAAAACCTGTAGTTTTTTACACTCTAAAGGGCTCATTAAGTATATGTTATAAATTTCATTGAATTGTATTGGATTGTTTGGCGATATGCTGCACTTCGTGTACTGATTATCGTGAAAATTTCATTCTCCAAAAACACATTAAAATATTCTTATAAGTTAGATAAAGTAAATGTTATAAAAACGACTCTCTAGTTTTGTATAACGACTCTCTAGTTTTGTTTCCTTCATCCTCAATATTTGTATTTCTTTTTTTTCTTGTAGCCCTACCATCAAACACCTAAGAAAACACTTTTTCAACCTAGTTGGACACCTAGGAACAAAAATAAAATTAAAAAAAATTTTTGTTAAAAGTAATCAATTTACGAATGAAAAAAATAGTTTTTTAAATATTTCAATTTTTATATTTTTTTGCATAAACTTTTGCAAAAACACTTATTACTTGTGCGTTTCTGTAAACTAATACTTGACATATGCCCACAGTTTGTCCTGCAATAAATGAATAACCTAAGCTAGAATGAAATCTAAAACAGACGAAATAAAAATTAAATTAAAGTAAAAATTTCTGAAATTACTTTTTTTTCATTCCATTTAAAACTTTATCAAAAGAACTGAAGAATTATGATGACATGTGTGTAATAAAAATAAAAACCTTCATTTTGCTTGAATTTCAAATGAATGCGCTAAGAAATGAAATTTATACCTACAACTTATGGTATGACATTTCAAAGAGGGATTTTATTAAAAGCTTTTTTTTTTTAATACTCCTTATTATTTTTAGCATATTTTCAAAAATAACAAGGAATAAATAATTAATTGTTAGAAATAAAGATATCACAAAGGAAGAGGCTCTTTTCAAAGCCTTATAAAAATGTAGAGAAAAATTATAAATTCAAATATTCATAGAGATCTTTTTCAACAAAAAGAATCTATAAATTCTTGCGCATTAATTTTCTTTGTTCTTTTGAAAAAATAAACAGAATTTCATACTTATAGTTATTGTAAGAAATTCCCACCTCTCAAAATTTATCGCATTTGGGAGCATTTTTTTTATTATTTCTTAAAGATCAGCATAATTAATAAGATAAAATAACACTAGTTACATTAATTGAAACCGAATAAAAGAAGTTGAAAGACCAATAAAAACATAAAACTACCGATCCCAAATTTATGATTTCTTAAAGGCATCTTTCTTTTTATACCAACAGTATTATATTTAATAAAACAACAATCGTTGACTTTTTTAAAAAAACATTTCATTAACATAATAGTATTAAATGACAGGAAAAAAACCCTTGATTAATTATGAAGAATTATAACAAATGTGGTTTAAAGATTAATTACCATCGAAAACAGAACAACATTACCTTTATCTTACGAATATCTATCTAATATTTATTTTTACGCGGAAAAACATTGCTTAAAAAAACTTGCTGAGGCTTGAAGGCAGAGAAAACTTTTCTCCGTCTTGTTGACACGTCGGAAATCCAAGATGACAAAATTCTTGATTAATTTACTAAAATTATAATAAGCGATTTGTCAGGTAATTACATTAGGAAATTCTTCTATAATAGAAATTAAATTTTATTCCACGAATCGCTAGAATTCGGAAGTACGGTTGATTCCTCTGGCCTTAGAAGCATATAAATAAAAAATTAAGGCATCAGGACTGTTCTTTGATTTATTATTCTCAGAGGTTAACGCTCGAAAATCCCAAAGTATCATTAAGTTTCTTTATCGGGGAGATCAGTCGTTTCGATAATAAATTCAATTCTCTGAAATACGATCGAAAATAGATGTTATGTGTCATAATATGTAGGCACAGTATACCGTCTATGATTAGTGTCATGGTTGTTTATAAGTTACACAGCATTGGTTATAATTTATGTTGAGAATTATATCTCATTTGGAATTCTGCTAAATGTGGTACTGCATTCAAGTTGATCTGATAAAAAAAAAGTACATTAAATTACAGATAAATGTCCATGAAATTATCAGAAAGGTACAAATAAGCTATTTCGGTAATTTTTTTTTTAAAAAAAATTGTGGTTAATTTTATTTAAGCGTTGCACGTATAGTTATCTTTCTTTTTTGAAATGATTGAATATAATGATGCGGTAAAAATTGTTTCGAGTAACAATTAATTGCATCGGTATTTATACCTGTTAAATTACGATGCAATTCTATCAAATTATGTGGTTAAAAATTCATAGATTATGTATACTTCATATTTACTTCACCTTGATGGAATATGTTCCATGTTTATTTTGTGTAAAGGTTCTCTTACTACTTTTTAAATAATTATATAATTTGTAATTGGTATTAGAGAACTGAGTACCTGAATTGAGAATAAGTAGATTTATAAATTAATTAAATTAATATCTTTTTTAAAAATCACTATCTTATCATTTTTCAGAATATTATTTTTGGTAGAAACATAATCGTCTGCATATTGACTGTTACGAGAGCGTACATAAATTGGATCACAAAAGTAATATCATATTTTTTAAAAAAATGAAACAAATTATTAATTTGTTTTGTTTATTCTCCTAAATTATTAAACAAATATAATTTCTTGTAATGTATCAACTAATTTTTATGAATATAAGTGATACTGAATAAAATTATTTGTATATTTTTAAAAGATATAATGACGTTTTAATGCAGCTAAAGAATTTTTTTTTCTCTCAGACGTAAAAAATTGCAAAAATGAAAAGTTTTGAAAATAATATTTTTTTGTCTCATGCATCAGTTACAATGAATCAATTGTTGGTTTTTGAAGATATACTTATAATATATTATTTAAATTTTCTTGGCTATATACAGAATGCACATTAATGTAATATAAACAAATAAAACACATATGGATGTAATATAAATGTGTATAATACCAAAAATACAAGTATGATTAAAAGTAGATATTGTGCGTTGTAATATGTGATCGAAGAATATTATTTTTGATGAGAGGTAAAAATCGTTTATAAGTTTAAGTTAGACAATATTCAACTATTAAACTCTTTTCTTATTTGTATTTATTGAGGATTAAAATTTCAATACCGTTTTACGGTTTTTAAAAATTTATTTTTAAGAAAAAACTAAAAAATTTCTTGATACTTTATTTAAGAAAAATAATAAATTCTTGTAGGAATGAAGGCTTAGGTTCGAAGCTGACTGAGTCAAATTTTTTTGATCAATAAATAATTTATAGAAATATTTGATAAAATATTTCTCAAGTAATCAAGTACGGAAAACTTATGAAAAATCAAATTTACGTAAACGATTTTGAAGCAAAGTATGTGCTAGAAAAATAACAGTAACAAGAATAATAACATTATTCTATTTAATATTTGCATATTTAAGAATGAAATTTTATTTAATAAATATTATTTTTCTTAGAAAATAATACTTTGGGATGGTGAAAAAAATTAAATAATTATGAATTAAGTATCCATCATTTGAGAATTAAAATTCTAACTATTTCAGTATAATTAATAATCCCCAAGAAAATTAGTATTTTAAATAAAAGAGAGAAATTTATGAAACTGATATATTCGAAAACAACTTTCGTTTCCCCTAAAAAGCTCTCATTCAAAAAATATTCGTTTTAATGATCAAAAGTATTAATGAATGAATTTTTTGATATTTTTACTAAACCATAATGATAATTTTCTATGCAAATAAGCAAATGATCTTAAATTAAAAAAAAAAAATAGTGGTACATCTTAAACAAGCTGTAAATATTTTAGTGTGCTATAGTATTCGATTAGTGCAGTCTTTATGTTTATTTTAATAATGAAAACATGTTATAAAGTCCAGTATATTTAGTCCAGTTGTACTATTTGAATATAACAAAATTTAAATAGTTTCATAACTTATTTATAAAATGACAGTGCTTTAATGTAAATACATGGATATATTTATAATTCCGAACTTACTTTTAATAAAAATGGTAACTATGAGTTCTTTTTCATGAAAAGTTTCATTTCTCATCTTGATGAGAACAATTAGAATAAGTAAAAAACTTTTTAAATTGAAGCCGAAATTTTTTAGGCAATACACCTTATGAAATTAATTAAAAGAGATGAAAATAAGAAATATGCATTTTTTTTATCCTACCAGAAAAACAAATATCGTAAATATTTAATGACACTAACAACTTTCATCAATTCAGTTAATATACGCTGGGGGGTCACTGTGAAACTGGGTTTTATAAAAACCCTCCGTCCCATATCGAATGTGTCAGTCCTGGAGAGTAAATCAGTTAATAATACATTAAATAAAAATTATTGTTGTTCCTTTTTATTTTTGTTAGAATGTAAAGAAATAATGTAATATATAATTTAAAATAAGTATGTGTAGCATCAAAATACTAATTTTTATTTACAAACCTTCTATGAGAGTTAAGATTACAAGATCAGTTTTAAAACATAGTTATCTATATGTTCCAAAATTAATTCATTCAATTCCTCTACTATTAGTTCACTCTCTCCCTATATATATATTGTTCAAATTTTCAAACGTTAATAAATTACTTTCTATTTTACTATTCAAGTTTAAATATATTTTTTAAACTTGTAGTGGATGGCATTTGATGTTAATACACTTTTTTCAAATATTGATTCATTAATTAAATTAAAAAGTGAATAGATAGTAACAAACAAAAATAATAGTCCAACAGCATATATAGAAAGGAAAGTCGTACATTGTGTTCTTGTAGCGCAGTGGATAGCTCGTTGGACTTGTTCTCCAAAGGTCGTGGGTTCGAATTCCACCTGGGATGGCCTAATTTCTGAGAATGGGATTTATTTTTACTATACTATTGCATTAAAACAATTAAATTTAATTAATGGATAAATAGTAATAAACAAACAAAAAATAGTCCAACACCCTATATAGAAAGGAAAATGGAAAATTGCAAGGAGAATCGCTTTCTACTTTGTTGTAACTAAAATAAAATTTTTCTTTGTTGACCTAAAAAGGAAATCTTCTTTTATACTTCTTGTTTTTTAGAGAATCAGCTTTAATTAAATACAGTAAAATATAAATGAAAGATATTCCATAAGTTATCAAAAAGTATTGTATAAGTTTATCTGTACTGTATAAGTTTATGAATTACTCTTAGAAAACTAATATGGTAACGAAAATTCTTTTAGAGTACTCTAGAGATTGTCTTGGCAAAAATATTTTTTTACACCAAATAACTCAATCAAGGCATAATTTCTTCATATAAATCCATCTTTCTTTCATACTTCGAATTACTCACTTAATAAAGCCATGAATAAGCTTAAAAGGATGTCACAAAGAGTAAGAATTGTGGAAAAGCGAGCTTCACGTGGTTACTTTTTAAACAAGATTAGTTCATGCAAAAAAAAAAAAAAAAAAAAATCTTCTAGAAAAAAATGCTCTCAACAAAAATTCTTGCATTAAATAAGAAATTAGAGATTAATTTTGTTTTGAAGTTCTAAAACTTTTACTTTGCTACCATGCAAAAGGCCATGAATAAGTATCAAGTAAACGCTAAATGAGTATAATCTACCCGATTTGCCATATCTTAGGTCTTTATAATTGGTTTACGAGGGATTTGAAGTTAAATGGATCTAATACCGAGCCACTAAACGTGTCTTTGGTTTATCTCTGTATCCACGTTAAAATACCATAGCTATTCCTGAGAGAGTACACTTTACACATGTTAGCCTTAATTAATATTAATGACTTACGGTGTAGACTGCTTTACAGTTTTTTAGACGAATGGGAAGTCTGAAGGGAACAGGAGGACAACAATGTAGCCGAAGAAAAGGCAAGATTTATGGGAGGAAATTTTTTCATATGAGGGTGAAAAAAATTTGCTAGTTAATTAATGTCTGGAATTACTATATTGGATTTAAAGATGTTAGTTTTCTTAAGAGTTATGCGAAATGTTGCCTAAAAAGCAATAACTTCAGTTAGGAACTATGCTTTTAAAAAAAGTTTATTTCGTGAACTGCTGATTTTAATTTTGGTCATTTAGGGTTTATATATTTAAAATGTATAGAAAAAGAAAGAAACATTGAAGAATATTTTAAAAGTAAACAAATGCACAGTAATTTTGTGATCTTTTTTTCTAAAAAAAATATTTTAAATTAAATTTTTACAAAAGCTTAAAGATATTAATACGATTTTCTTCACAATTCTTAGAAGTTCTACAAATATCTGTCTTTCACCAAATTTTGCAAATTTTTTAAATTCATTTCTATGATTCTTATCTAAATTTCAGTTTAATTTTAAGGGGACCTAATACCCTAAAAATGACCAAAATGTCGGATTTTTTTACTATCTCATTTTAACTGTGAGATTTCTCTAAATATGTGTACAAAATTTCGTTGCTTTTGCTGCATTATTTAGACAGTTATTTAATTTTTTAACAGCATGAGGACACGAAAATTAAAATTAGGACACATGCCTTTGGTATATACATATATATATATACATTATTTATTTTACTGACTTTTAAAACTTTAAATGGCTTTTTATCAGGCTTTTATTTTTTGTGGTAATCGTGTTTTTAAAATATATGCTAAGGCTTTCTCTTTTATATCTAACATAAAGTTTGAACTTTTTTCTGGTTGCCTTGAATAATATGTTTGCCCATTCTGTGCCTGAAATAAGGATTTACGGGAATTGCTACTTTTTAAAAGTTATCAAAGTTAGATATAGCAGGTGTTTTTTTTTTGTTAGTGGTGAACACTAAAAAAATTGTAAGAATATGAATATCACTCGCAATACCAACCCATACACAGAATTGCAAGGAACATTTTTTAAGATTATTGGGAAAAAATTGTTTAAAAATATTAAAATTTGTAGAAGTAGTAAAGATTTTGAAGTAATAAAATATATTTAAATAATTTAAAATTTAAAATAATTTTTGTTTTAAAAGGGGGGTTTTCTTCTGAAATGTATATTTAATATGCGTTTAAGGTATCCGACTACGTTCGGAAACGTGATTTTGCAAAAGCGTATAAATGGATAATATTTATGATATTTAGTGTCACTTAGATTAAAAAATGTATATAAAATTGTTTTAAAAATATTATTACAGTAAAAAATTATTTAAGTACAATTTTTTGACAAAAAATGAACACAGAAGAACTCATTTTCAAATTATTCTCCTTTTTTAAAAAATGCTTCTATTATAATAATATTTTGCCTGTATATAGATCAGACTTCTTTACAGAGACCCAACTAGAATTTTTGAAATATATAACTTAGAAGTGGGGTTATCCATATTTTACGACAACAGAAGGGAGCAATTTTAAGAAAAAAAAGCCGAAAATTATTTCAATGGGTGGTAACTCTGAAAATAATGTGAATTTTTCAAAAATCCTAGTTTAGACTCTCTGGAGAAGTCTTTACTTTATATATAAGCGCGAAATATTTTTTATTTTAGAAGCATTTTTTATAAATGGAGACCATTTTGAACAAAGATTATTCTAAGTTAATTTTTTGCAAAAATAATAAATTTAAATAACTTTTTTTAATCAAAATATCCTTAAAACAATTTTATACATATATTCCAAGCTAAGTGACTCTTAATATCATGAAAATTATCCATTTATGTGCCTTTTTAAAATCACGGTTCCGAACGTAGTCGGATACCTTAAATAGGGTACTTGTATAAATATTTTCATACTACTATATAAATAAAAAAAATTATGTACAAGGTACCATGTCCCCTTAAATATTTTTGATTAATAATTCCAAGCTTTGTAGGCTCACAAAAGAAAATACAGCAAAATTTCGTAGAGGTATTCGAGTCCCGATTAGATTTCCCTTTTCTTCAAATCCATTTATGGAAATTTTTTATAAATACAGAAATAGTAATTAAAATATTCTACTTTCCCTTATACGTTATTTTACATGCATTTCAAAGCCATTTTTTGTTTGGTTTTTTCTGAAGTAATATTCCGGTTATGGCTTAAATTCAAAATGGTAATGTTAAATTTACTTATATTTTGTTCATGTGAATCTTTACGAAACCTTAGAGCTCTAATATACATAAATTAGTATAGTTAATCAATTTTAAACATTTTTAACAAGTTCAGAAATTTATCCACACCAAGGAGTTTCTATCCTTATTCAATTTCATCATCTCTAGCTTTTGATTTGTAACGTCTTATAAGATTAAATAATTAACATAAAGTCAAAAGGCGATATTTTCACATTCTGTTTGCTACCATCTCATACTATTCCAAATTAAAAGCGAGAGATCATAAGCTTAATTTTAATTAGATTTCACTAATTTATCTTTCTAATCCATGTCACGTAATTAAACTATTCTTTATTTTAATCTTTTTAACCTTTAACATTTCTGTACGTGTTATTAAAATTTAATTACAGTGGAAGAAAATTTTTAATTTTCGAAGGTTCTTTTTAAATGGCTTCAAATATTTTGCATTTTATTATATATTCTCTCAGTCTGATATTCCCTATGTCCGATGTTCATTATATTTCATTTTCAGACTTATATTTTGATTTCGAATTCGTCAAAAATCCGTCTTACACAACATTTGTAATGTATCAAACTACTGGCCTCTATTTTAATAATAGTTTTGTAATTAAAAAATTAATCCAACCATCAAAAATCAAATTTAATTTTTTTTATATAAAACTGTTCTGATTTTTAAATTTTTAAAAAACTTTTCAAATATTATTTAGGTATAAGTTATAAAATTCAAAAATTACTGTAATTATTTAAAGAATTTTTATTTAATTTTATAAAGGTGACATAATGGGACAAAAAATTGAGTTTGAAATTGCTTCAGTTTTTTTCCTTCTCTCTTCTATTTTATTACACTATTGTTAAAAATCAGTTTCAAACATTGTTATATGGTAAAATACTGATACTTTAAGATTCATCGCTTTTCATCGTCTTTTAAACGATTTAAAATAAACGAGAAAGGTTTGAATTTGTGTATTAGTTTTCTGTCCTAATATTTTAAAAAGCAAACTGAGGTTAAACTAAACTATTATTTTAAAAATGTCGTCTGTATATATTTTTTCTTCTTAATTTTTCTTTTAAATTATAAAAGGTACATTAGAATGCTCAATTCAAATTATGACTTGGAAAAACTAGATTATACTATGTCAACAATAGATTTAAAATTTAATAAATTGAATAATTTCATTTTTATATTTTAAATTTGAAATCTTCTAAATACTTTTACATCTACAAACAGCTTACTCAATTCTTCATCAACTTTCTTTTTATAAAATATTAAACAATTACAAAACATATTTAATTAGCTTTTTGAAAATGCATTAGTTAGGACATTTTTTTTAAATGATTAAGGAATTTTTTGTTTTTAAATGATGGATTAACAACTCACAAGTAATATACTTACGACACTTTCATATTATTTGTCATAAATTGACCCTCCAAAATAATTTTACGTGAGTTTTCAAAATACAGATATATACAGCAGCGCTCTCTTTGTATAAAATAAAATGCTCTTTGTTTCTAAATAAAAGCTTTTTCATTTAAATGTATACTTATATAAACATTTATATTTGAAGCATTCTATTTAAATGCATGGGCTTCATATGAAAGTCAAGCATGAAAAATTTTTAAGCTTAATTTTCATTTAGAGGAGACATCTTACTAAGTACTGCAAAAAGTTCTGAAAAATACGCCACATATATGCTCAATACTTTTAAAGACTACATGATTGAATTTTATTTTAAAAAAAATTAGAAGATAGTTAAAGTTAACATTATTAATTTGATCAAAATGAAAGAAATTTTGTA